TTACAGACAAATGGTTAAGACTTGGTATCTGTCTGTAAGATGCTAAGAGAAGAGATGCATAGAAACAGCCAATGCACAAGTGAAAGGCACCATTAGAGATGTATGGAGTTCATGGAGTTCCGAGGAGGGAGATACTATATCTGCCTGGGAAAGAGGCGTGAAGCTTGGCCTTGAAAATCAGATAAAATGTACATATGAGGAAAGGGAGAAGAGTGTTCCTGGAGGAAGACCCAGTCGTGTGGGCGTGCAGGGCATGCATGGAAACCGGGGGGAGTTTAGTCTTCCCAAGGTGTGGAGTTGATGAAGAGTTTGCAGGTCGTGAGCTCAGAGGCTTTCAAGGCTCAGAGGGAGGAGGGCAAACACACACGTATGAAGGTGAAGACTGGCAGCCTAGGGGCCAGAGACAGCCCCAGACATGTTTAGTTTGGACACTGTTTCAAAATTTGGAGTCAGTTTGGAAAATCAGAAGATTTCACATAAAAATCCAGATTTCTGGCTTCTCTTAAAAAATTGAAAAATCTGGCAACACAGGGTGCAGTTCTTCAGGACAGCAGTTGGCCTGAGCCGAGGAATGGCTGCCTCCGTTGGGCTGGGTGTGAGTCTGTCTGTCCAGCATGCAAGTCGTATTTGGCTGTGCCTTGCACCCAACCTGCTGGGCCCCGCGGCATCTGAGGGTAAGACCCTGGCATCTGAGGGTAAGACCCGCGGCATCTGAGGGTAAAACCAGCCCAGGCAAACGGATGTGGACATGTGATGTGACGGTAGAATCCCCAAGTATTCCTTCCAACTCTCAGATTCTTTTTTTTCTTTAATTGTGTGTGTGTGGTAAAAATATATGTAACAAAACATTTGCCAACTCGACATTTTTTACATGTACAATTCAGCGATATTGATTACATGAATCACTTTATACAACATTGCTCGTATCCATTCCCACATTCTCCGTCGCCATAAACGTCACTCAGGGGTCCCTAATCAACGCTCTGAATCTTGCACGAGTTGGTTTTCTGTGTTCCCTAGCCCCTGCTGCTACCCCAGACACACTCTCCTCTTTCAAATTTCAGCATGCATGGCTCTTATAATTATGAGACATGAAAATATCAAAAGTATCTCCAAAAACAGCTCATGCCACCCAGGATCTGAGGCCCCAAATGGTGTGAATCAAACAACATCAAAGTGTGTGTGAAGGTGGGGGCAAGCCATGTGTCTTTGTTTGTTTTATGTAAACAGATGAATTAGAGAGCTGTCATAACCCCAGTCTTTGGACTTTTGATCTTACCTGCCAGGACCCAGCCTTGGAGATTTATTAAATAGCTTGTTCCTTTTCTAGATTTCCCCACTCTGCCCTTCCTCTCTGCTTCCGAGCTTTTTGCAAGTCTCAGCCTTCAGACTCTTCTGTCTGAGGCAGGTTGGATTCCTCATGACATTGTCAGCTGCCGTCAAGTCTATTTTGAGCGGAGTAGAACTGCTCCATAGGGTTGTCAAGGCCATGACCTTTCAGAAACTGATCACCAGGCCTCTCTTCTGAGGCACCTCTGGGTGGCTAGAATCGCCAACCTTTCGGCTAGTAGTTGACTGCTTAACCGTTTGCACCACCCAGGGATACCCGTTGCCATCAAGTCGATTCCGACCCAGGGGTAGGGACAGAAAACCCACGTTTGGAAAATGCAAATCCTAACGGGTAATCAGGGAAGGAGTTTTGGCAGCGGTGGGGTCCTGGAGCCCGGGAGATCCCACAATTTAGCCCCTTTTGTAGCAACACTAATGGATTAAAAGGTCAGCTTGGCGATCTACTAAGGTTGAGCCCTCGTAAGTATAAATAAACACACAGAGTGGAAGGAATGCAGAAAAGAAAAACAAACGAAGGGAAAAAGGAAATGAAACACCTGACTTGATTTCATTGAGAAAATTCTTTCTGAAATGCCCTTTGTGTAGCAATTCCATCAATGCCTCGCAGTGCAAATGCCCGGGAGAACGCTTCCAAGCTCTCCATGCCCTCGGAGCCAGACCTCGGTGCTCCTGTTCCGCGGAGGTTCAGTAATTCAGGGGGGGCGGGGCTGGGGGCGGGGGGCAGTAGAAAGGTTTTTTTGTACTTAATGTGAAGCAGGAAGAAAAGGACTTAATGAACCACAAAACTGGATACTTTATGAAGGCACAGCACGGTCAGCACTTTGCTCGGAGTAGAGAACACACAATTGGCATGGAAATCAGCCAAGGAATGGACTGAGTAGGCAGGAGAATGTCCAAAAGGAGACTTCCAGCTCTATGCCTTCAGACGTCACAAAGTGGATCCCTATGTGCCCTGGATGTGTCTGACCAGATGCAAAGCGCTGGGCCCCCTTCGATGCCGTTTGCGGACCAGGATGGACTCGATGGTCACATTGGGGAGTGCTGGAATTGGGGGTTGGTTGTATTTTGTTGGCTTCCCACCCCCACCCTGCGGTTTTCACCATCTGTTTCTTTTAATGCATACACAAGGAAAATGACTGGTTTGGAATGCAAAGTTTTCTAAAAACCAAGTGACCACAGGCATTCTCTAAATGAGAAAGAGAGAGCAAATTGAGGTTCTGTGACATTTGGCAGGAAGTGAAATCTTAAATACCGGGAAGCGTGAACGCGCCCTGCTGGGGAAGAGCCTCGGAGCGAGGAAAAGGAAAAGCTTTGTGCACGACCCTGCCTTCCGGGGGTCATGTTATATGTTTACATTTCACGGAGTGCTATTTTCAGACACCAGCGCCACCCCCTCTACCTCCCAGCCCTCCTCCCTTTTTTAAACCAAAGACGAAACCGCTAAGCTGGGCTTCAGTATAAGCCGCCTTGGTTTCCATTTGCACGATTCCTTACTTGGCCGCCGTGGACAGAGTCCACTCTCAGGAACTTTTCGAGATGGAACAAAGCCATGTTGTGAGCAGGTTCTATTATAAAGCCAAAATAGAGAGCTATAAATAGGGGAGCTGATGAGATAGACAAGAAGATACCTCATTTCTCCTGGACAATAATGAGCGCAAAACAAAAAGGGCGTTAGGAACACAGTGTGTTTTTCTGTAGCAGAGGGCATCTTGTTTTTAAAAGGAAGATTTGCTGGGCACAATACAATGGCCACTCTATAAAACGGTTCTTTATATCCCATGCCAACAACCCTTAAAGCAATAGGTTCCTTTTTTTTACACCCGAGGCAGTGGGGAGATTGGGTGGAAATGCATACTAATCATAATGAGTTGTAAGCACCAGGTATTTAAAACCAAACTGAACTTGGGCATTTCAGAGCCCCTGGGGAGAAGGGCGCTGGTGCATTTGGCTGCGTTCCACCCAATCAGCGGAAGACAGACTCGTTGGAGCACTTCTCACAGAGTTTTGTAGGCTCCCTGACGCCAGAGTTTTCACATTAGAGAAGGGATAAAAGATGATAGTTTCTGAGGAAACAACCCACTCTTCCTAATTTGCAGTGTCTCCACAGATGTCGTGAGCTGTATTTGAGGCGGGCACTGTTAGTCATTAGTGGTGGGGGGGGAAGGGTTAGGCAGAAACAAGACCCGGGTGATTTCCAGATGAGTTAAGTTCAAATAGTTTCTCTACCTGTGTTTAAGACACCAGTGAAGTATGTAACTGTGAAAATACGAGGCTGTCGGGTGAGAGTCATTTCATTTGCCTGGATTCCAGAGGCTGAAGTTACGATGAATGTATTTGACCTTTGATGTCCCTTGGACGTAGGTACTGTCTGGGACGTTTGCTTCCCTGGTAGAAATGGGAAAATGATTAGCGCAAGAAATGGAGACCTGAATTCTGTTCCTGGTCGCTCCCTGGCTTAGTGTTTCATTTGCTTCATAAGTGAGATTGAAAGCTTCTGGAGGCTTCTAAGGGCAATGCTGTTTGAGTATTAGCTTTGTAGAAGGACTCTAGCGACCTGTGGAATTTTAGTTAGAATCATCATAATAACGTCTGTTGGATGAGGAGGCATCCTGGGGAAGGCATGAGAGGAATGTGAAGTGGCTGAACTTTATTACTCATTTTACAAATAGTTCCAGAGCCTTAAAAAAAAAGTTGTTGTTGTTCTTTTCACTCTGCTGCCATTTGGATATAAGAAAAGTTTGATTGCTCCAAAGGGATAATCTAGAACTCTCATCATTCAAAAATGACTCTCCCTTAAAGTGTATTTTGAGAATTGAGACTCTATCTGAATGACCTTGAGGTGATTTTATAACCATGGGAAGATGATAGAGATATTTCAGGAGCTTGTTCTTCATCGGGACTGAAGAGGGATTGAAACGGTCACACACGATCTGCTGTGTCTCTCTTTGTCTCTTTCCTTTTCTTTCTTCCGTCTTTGGTTTTTTTTTTATTTTTCTTTTTACGGGGGAGAGAAGAGGGGTGAGTGTCTGTCATGGATTGAATTGTGTCCGCCCAAAATGTGTGTCAGCGTGGTTAGGCCATGATTCCCAGTATTGTGTGGTTGTCCTCCATTTTGTGATTGTAATTTTCCTATGTATTGTAAAGCCTAAACTCTGCTTGTGGTAATGAGGCAAGATTAGATTAGGTTAAAGAGGATTAGGGTGGGATTGTAACACCCTTACTAACGACACATCCCTGATCCAGTGTAAAAGGAGTTTCCCTGGGGTGTGGCCTGTGCCACCTTTTATCTTATAAGAGATAGAAGGAAAGGGAAGTGAGCAGAGAGGGGGGACCTCATACCACCAAGAAATAAGAGCCAGGAGAATAGCTCGTGCTTTGGACCTGGGGTCCCTGTGCTGAGAAGCTCCTCGGCTAGGGGAAGATTGATGACCCTCCTCCAGAGCCGACAGAGAGAAAGCCTTCTGCTGGAGCTGACGCCCTGGACTTGGACTTGTAGCCTACCAGACTGTGAGAGAATGAATTTCTCTTTGTTAAAGCTATCCGCTTGGGGTATTTCTGTTATAGCAGCACTGGATGACTAAGACAGTGCCTGACTGGGAACCTAGGAGTTCACTCCGGAATTTTACCTCTGTATGTCCTCTCGACCACAGGTGATAACCCCAGTGAGGATGGGCCATGGCTACGTGTACGAGTACCCATCCAGATTCCCAAAGGACACCTATGACATCCCTCCCTCCCATGCCACTCAAGGGGTGAGTACTAGAATACCATCACAGGAGAGTGGAGCTCATTAGGGCCGCATCCCTTCAGGCGCTGGTTGGGCTAGAGGAGAAAAGTTGTTGACAAAGTATGTGTATCTCATATGAAGTTCTACTTAGATGCCCTTCCAGGAGCCACGTTACCCAAAGTTATTTAAATTATGCTTTTTCTGGATTTGCTTAATCAGGAAATTCTAGTCATCCCTCTGAGAAAAGTTTTGTTGCGTTATCATTTTAGCATTTCTTTTTCAGGAGGTATTAAAATTTAAACTAGAGTTTAAAGTACCCACAGAGTAAATATTTCAGTGAAGATCGTGTTTATATTCATCCTAAGTCAAAGAATACCAAATCTAAAAAGAAAAATCCCGTCTTTGTTCCATGGGAGACTGCCAGTTCCCAAGCCTGCATGTCACCTGGTAAATCAATCCATGATTAAAAGCCCAGTAGCATTTTAAAAATAACACTTACAAGACGTTTTCATTCCGAGTAACTCAGGTGTTTCTCTTCAGGTGTACGACATTCCTCCCTCATCCATGAAAGGCCCTGTGTTTTCCGTTCCAGTGGGAGAGATAAAACCTCAAGGGATATATGACATCCCTCCAAGCACTGGGGTAAGTGGTGACCTGCTGTTGTTGTCAGGAGCTGTTGAGTCGCTCTCAACTCGTAGCGACCCCATGTGTGTGCAGTAGAACTGTTCTATTGGGTTTCCAGTGGCTGGTTTTTCAGAAGCAGATCACCAGGCCTTTCTTCCAAGGCACCCCTGGGTGGGTTGGAACTGCCAACCTTTCGTCTAGTAGTTAAGCACTTAACCATTTGCACCACCCAGGGACTCCGAGTGATCTACTGCGGAGTGGCAGAAAAGATGGGTGTGTGTGTGTGTGTGTGTGTGTGTGTGTTGGCTTATTGAGATAGAAGAAGAAGTTCAAATCCAAAAGGGGAAAATCCCCTTTTGGTGAGCGAGTAAATGAAAGGAAGGAAAGGCAATAATAATTAAAGAAAACTCTTTACCCAGTTGTTGTCAAGTCGATTCCAACTCATGGCAACCCCATGTGTGTCAGAGTAGAACTGTGCTCCATAGGGTTTTTGATAGCTGATTTTTTGGAATTAGATTGCCAGGACTTTCTTCAAAGGTACCTCTGGGTGGACTCAAGCATCCAACCTCTTGGGAAGTAGGTGAGCACTTAACCGTTTGCACCTCTCAGGGGCTTTAAAGATAACTCTAGAGTTCCCTTATTTAGAGGCCCCACTTAAAAAAAAAATGGGGTAAGTCAACAAGAAGAGCCAGTTGGACGAGAAGATAATTAGTTCAGTCTGGCAAGTAATAATAATGTATCTCACAGAGGGTTTTGCAGCTTACTCGGTCCACTTAAATGGGTTCACTCATTTGATTCACTCTGTTACTGTCCGGGGTAGGCCTGCACAGGAAGTATTGTTATCTTTACAGATAAGGGAACTGTGGCTCAGAGCATTTAAAGGGCTTATTCAGCGTCACACAGTTGGTGGATCTGGGACAGGACCTCAGGTTTTCTGACACCTGCTGTGGTGCATTGATGCAGAATCTGCCTCTGGGCTCGGAAAAATGGGGAGGGATATCCAGGAAGTGGTTAGAAACGTGGGCTGGGACCCAGGGAAGAGGATTCCGCATCCCAGTTACCACTGAGGCCATGGGAATGATGCTGTCGTCACAGGATTGAGTGACATGAAAGCAGAGCCGAGCAGAGCCGAGCCGAGCAGAGCCTCGGGAAGTAGCCACCATTAGTGGGAAGAGGAGTTACAAAAAGGACTGAGAATTCTGGGCTTCATTTTAATGTCCTGTTCAGCTTCTTCATGTTCACATAAGCCAGCCCAACAACTAAGCGTTCAGTTTCTTTACTTACTTCTTCTTTGTATTTTAGATGTATGCCATTCCACCTTCTTCTTGTCGAGATGAAGTGGGGCTTAGGGGCAAGGAGTATGATATCCCCCCTCCGATGAGACAAGCTGGAAGGCTACAGGTCACACCGGAGGGCGTTTATGACATCCCTCCAGCCAGCACCAAGCCAGTAGGGAAGGACGTTAGCATGAAATACAACTGTGATGTTCCAGGAGCTGCTGAGCTGATGTCCCACAGGCACCAGAACATGTCTCTGAATCACGCACCCTCACTGCTGGGACTGCCAGTGGGCACTCAGAACGATGCATATGACATCCCCCGAGGAGTTCAGTTTCTGGAACCACCAGCAGAAACCAGCGAGAAAGCAAATCCGGAAGAAAAAGATGGTGTTTACGATGTCCCTCTGCATAACCCAGCAGACACTAAAGGGTCTCAGGATGTGGTAGATGGGATCAACCGGTTATCATTCTCCAGTACAGGCAGTACCAGGAGTAACATGTCCACATCTTCCACCACTTCCAAGGAGTCCTCATTGTCAGCTTCTCCATCTCAGGACAAAAAACTCCTCCTGGATCCAGACACAGCCATTGAGAGGCTCCACCGCCTCCAGCAGACCCTGGAGATGGGTGTCTCCAGCCTCATGGCCCTGGTCACCACTGACTGGCGGTGCTATGGGTACATGGAGAGACACATCAATGAGATACGCACCGTAGTGGACAAAGTGGAGCTGTTCCTCAGGGAATACCTCCTTTTTGCCAAGGGAGCTCTAGCGAATGCTTCCTGCCTCCCAGAACTCATCCTCCACAATAAAATAAAGCGGGAGCTCCAGAGAGTTGAAGACTCTCACCAAATCCTAAGCCAAACCAGCCATGACTTAAATGAGTGCAACTGGTCCCTGAACATCCTGGCCATCAGCAAGCCCCAAAACAAGTGTGATGATCTGGACAGGTTTGTGATGGTGGCAAAGACAGTGCCTGATGATGCCAAGCAGCTAACCACAACCATCAACACCAATGCAGAGGCCCTCTTCAAAGCAGGCCCTGGCAGCTCGCATCTGAAGAATGGGCCTGAGAGCATCCTGAACTCGACTGAGTACCCCCACGCTGGGTCCCACAAGGCCCAGGCCCACAACAAGACATTACACCCAAGCCTGGGCAAGGACCAGCCCCCTGACTGTAGCAGCAGTGACGGCTCTGAGAAGAGCTGGATGGATGATTATGATTATGTCCACCTACAGGTAATGAACCCAGACTCATAAAACACCTTCACTCACACTCAGAGAGCCTGGGGCCAATGCCGGTGAGGCTGTGAGGCTGGGCTACCAAGGGAGAGAGCATGATTAATGTTAATCCAAGTGGTTTGCCCATTGGAGGCCATGTTGTACAGGAGGAAGGATATTGGACTGAGAGCCCTGGGTCCCGGACTCTAGACCTTTCCTGACACTAGTTGTATGACCAAATTATTTACCTCTCTGTGCCTTAATTTCCTCGTTTGTAAAAATGAATGAAGTACAGGATTAGAGTAGATCCAACTGATAATGCCTCAGACAGGCAGGAAGAGATTTAACAAATAGGATAATAATACCAGCTCCACTTCTGTTTTGTATTTTATTATGTCATAGCACAATATATTTTATTTGAATAAAGGGGTTCCACTGTTAAGAAAAAAAGGGCAGAACCTATGGATTAGAGAATGTCTAAGGTCCTCTCTAGCTCTACAGCTTGTGTGTGTGTGTAATTATTTGCAGGGAAACTTAATTATCTCAGTCTTACATAGAGGACCACGGGTATTTTCCAATTGGCCTATGGCTTAACCTGCATATGGCAAATTGGGCAGTCACGATCTGCCTCCTACAAGTGGGAAATTCCACTCGGTTGACCTGGGATGCTGGCAGTTAGCCTTTTGACTTTGGAGGATTCAAACACTCTATTTGTTGTTGTTGTGTGCTGTTGAGTCGATTCTGACTCACAGCAACCTTATATGACAGAGTAGAGCTGCCCCCTAGGGTTTCCTAGGCTATAATCTTTATGGGAGCAGATCGCCAGGTCTTTTCTCCCATGGAGCCACTGGTGGGTTCTAATCACCAACCTTTCAGTTAGCAGCTGAGCATTTAACCATTGTGCCACCAGGGCACCTTAAAACACTCTATCCCATTGCGATCGAGTCAATTCCGACTCATAGTGACCCCATGTGGTTGTCGTTAGATGCCATCAAGTCAGTTCCGACTCATAGTGATCTTATGTACAACAGAACGAAACACCTAGAGAGATCCATTATTTAAAATGTGGCATATCTTCTTATGCTATCGTTTTTTAAATTTGACTAAGAGCCATGGATTATACTGTGAACTATTAAAGCAACTTAAATCTATGTGAGTGGAAGAGAGGAGATGTGGGGAGGGAGAGCTGAGCTACCCCCAGTGCTGGGGAAAGGTGTAGGGAGTGAGTAGATGGAGGCATTAAACATTGTCCTCACTGATGTCCAGCTCTGCAGGTTGGGAAATGCTAATTTGGAGTAGAGATCTATAAATGATTCAAAGAAACTAGAAGTGAAATGTAGACCACATTTAGACCTGCATTTGGAGGCTTATGGGTTCACATATAATCTATTAGGAAAGAACCCTGAGAAACAGTACTCCATAAAGAGGCTTCAAGGGGGTCATGGGTAGTTCTTAGAAACTGGTAAGGTGGAGCAGAGAGCGTGGTACACCCCATAGCCCATTGCCACCAAGTCGATTCTGACTCATAGCGACCCTATATGAGAGCAGAACTACCCCATAGGACTTCCAAGGAATGGCTGGTGGATTCGAACTGCTGACCTTTTGGTTAGCAGCCAAGCTCTTAACCACTGTGCCACCAGGGCTCCTGGTACCCCCCATGGAAGGTGGTCGTAGTTTTCAGCCTTCACCTACACTGACTCTGGATGTCTGGCTGAGAAGCACGTCACCCGTGTCTGGGACTCACGGGGCTTAACTGGGCATGCGGGGAATTGCCAAGGCAGTGGGAAATGAAAGGGTATTTACGCATTTGTCAGCTGTTAACATAAGTGAGTCACAGTGGTGACGTAATGTGTTCTTTATGTTGAAAAATAATAGGGCAAGGAGGAGTTTGAGAGGCAGCAGAAAGAGCTATTGGAAAAAGAGAATATCATCAAACAAAACAAGATGCAGTTGGAACATCATCAGGTACGTTCATCAGAACACAGCTGCCTGGTGCTGAAAAGAGTTCTCACTTAGCAGGGAAGGCACAACTTCAACAGATTAGCATTTCGATCCTTCTAGCTCACTTTGGCATAAATAAGCTCCGAGGCGTATAATAGGGTGCAGGAACAAAGAGAAGGTTTATGGCCTTGCTAATCCAGCTGGGTGTAACTGGATGACGTCCAGACAGCAATTTTTCCAGGCTGAGCCTACACATCTAACATATTAGGACTGTTTGGGTTAAGGCTGTTGGTCTCAAGGAACAAGACTCATTCAAGCAAGCCAGAGGAGATGCAAGAACAGAAAACTAAGACATAGTCAAGCCTGAGCAGAACTGGGACGGTCCATTCACTTTCTCTTGTACTTCCTTTGCTTCGCTCTGTAAATCTGCTTCATTCTCCTCTATTTTCTGACAGTTTCCTTTGCTTACCTACTCATTTAGCTCCTCTATATCTTTTAAAGAACCCTTAAAGGGGTACCCAAAACCCTTTCTATAAGATGACTTTTCATTTCAGCTTCCTCAGCTGATGGTCAGCTCCCTCCTGTAATTCATCAGTTTCCTACAAAAGAGAATCTGCTGGACCATCTCGCTCTCTTTTTTTTTTTTTTTTTAGCCAGCTGCACAAGCCTATGGTTTGACTATCCTTGTTCCAATAAGGGAAGGAGGACAGGATCTAAAGTTTTCAAAGTATATCCAAGCCCATTTGCCAGAGGCTTTGAAGCAAGGTAGCTTCATTCAGAAGGTGGGCATGAGTAGGGCAGATGGTGGCTATAGCTAGTACAATGGCATGGTGGGGGATGTAGAGACTTTTCAGATGAAATGCAGTGATGTGTACCGAGAAAGTGCTGTGCTCCGGCCGGAAACCTGCACTCTAGTCCCTGCTTTCTGACTAACCAACTCTGTGACCTTAGGCAAGTCACTTAACCTCTCTGAACTTTAGGTACTTCTTCATAAAATAGAAGGTAACCCCCACCACCACCACCACCCATCTAATGAGATGATATTTCTGAACATATTTGCACAAGTATCCGGTACTAGTTGCTGTTGAGTCGATACCGACCTATGGCAACTCTATGCGTTTCGGAGTAGAACTGTGCTCCACAGGGTTTTCAACAGCTGATTTTTCAGAAGTAGACTGCCAGGCCTTTCTTCCAAGGCACCTCTGGGTGGACTTGAACCTCCAACCTTTTGGTGAGCAGCTGAACGTGTTAACCATTTGCACCACCCAGGGACTCCTGCAAAAGCATAAGCTATATGAAATAGAATTCATTATAATTAAAGACTTTGGAAAATCACCCTGTGTCTGCTTATTTTTGCCTTGACATTTGGCCAAGCAAGATTACAGGGTTTTAGGTAGCTTTTCAAAACAATAGCAATTCCTAAGAAGAAAGCAGATAACATAGAAAAGTAGGGCTGACTGGGCATTTCTCAGGCGAGGAGTGGGGTGAGGTTATCCCTGCTCTGACTCAGCCTCACCTCAGGATGAGAGCTTGGCTGAGTCCTAAACTCAGGTCATGGATAGTCCTTACCTGCAAAAGAGAGTTCTTGCCTAAGGGGTGGTGGAATAGCTGGAAATTATTATAACTTTAATTTAAATAATGTACAAATTGGGGGCATCGAGGAGAAGGAAAAAAGCTAACACTCGTTGAGTCTGACTCTGCTAGTCCCCTTTCTTTCAACAGTCCTGTGCACTAAGTATTATAATGCACAATTTGTATCCAGATTTCTTTAGAAATAGTCTTTATCATAAGTGCTTTTTCCCTGTAGTCTTAGATTATTTTTTTTTTTAAAAAAAAAGGTTACCATCAAGTCATTTCCAACTCATGGAGACTTCATGTGTGTCAGAGTAGAACTGTGCTCCATAGGGTTTTCAATGGCTGATTTTTCAGAAGTAGATCATCAGACCTTTCTTCCAAGGCACCTCTGGGTGGACTCGCGGTATAAACTTTCCGGGTAGCAGCTGAGAGGGTTAACCATTTGCACCATCCATTGACTCCATTAGATTATAATATATCTGTAAATCTCTGCAGAAAGAGAAGTAGAAAAGGGCCATGAATTGCCATTTCATCTAAGCATCTTAAAGAGACAAAGGCATTCTCCAAAGAGGAAGAAACTATCAGTGACATACTTGACAAAGAGATTACTACATTCGGCTTTCCCCTCGCTACCACTCAACAGTTAATAAACATTTACATAAAGCCTATGATATACCACACATTATTCTAAGCACTTTATAAATATTAACTCATTTTATCTTCATAAAGGTGTAGATGACAGAGCTGGGCTTAAACCAGAGTCCACATGCTTAGTGATACACTGTGTTGCCTTCCAGCCTGAACCAATCATAGAAGCATTGAGCTGGAGGATTTCTTTGTTATTGTTATCTGCTGTCAACTCAGCCTCCAACTCATGGTGATCCCACGCACGACAGAATCGGACTGTTGTGCTCCAAAGGGTTTTCATTGGCTGATTTTTCAAAAGTAGATCGCCGGGTCTTTCTTCTTAGTCTGTCTTAGTCTAGACACTCCACTGAAACTTGTTCAACGTCATAGTAACACACAAGCTTCCACTGACAGAAGGATAGTGGGTGTGCATCAGGTACATTGGCCGAGAATCGAACCCAGGTCTCCTGCATAGAAGGCAAGAGGGGGGCAGTGGTGGTTCAGTGCTACAATTCTCACCTTCTTGGAGGATTCCTTAGAGATCATCTTTCTCAGCCTCTACATTTTACATCTTATAAGTGTCTGACACTCATTAAGGATTAAAATCCATGTCTTTTAACTCCAAAAAACAAAATACCAAACCCATTGCCGTTGAGTCAATTCCAACTTATACGACCCTATAGGACAGAGTAGAACCACCCCGTAGGGTTTCCAAGGAACGGCTGGTGGATTCAAACTGCCGACCTTTTGTTAGCAGTTGAGCTCTTAACCACTGTGCCACCAGGGCTCCTTTTAACTCCAAGCCCATGATAAGTTCTATCCCACTGCCTTAACCTTAATGAAGTCTATTTTTTTCTTCCTTGCAGCTAAGTCAGTTCCAGCTGTTGGAACAGGAAATCACAAAGCCCGTAGAGAATGACATCTCAAAGTGGAAGCCCTCTCAGAGCCTCCCAGCCACCAGCAACAGTGTGAGTGCTCAGGATAGGCAGTTGCTCTGTTTCTACTATGACCAGTGCGAGACCCATTACATTTCCCTCCTCAACGCCATCGATGCTCTCTTCAGTTGCGTCAGCTCAGCCCAGCCCCCGCGGATCTTTGTGGCACACAGCAAGTTTGTCATCCTAAGTGCACACAAACTGGTGTTCATTGGAGACACACTGACAAGGCAGGTTGCTGCCCAGGACATTCGCAACAAAGTGATGAACTCCAGCAACCAGCTATGTGAACAGCTCAAGACTATAGTGATGGCAACCAAGATGGCGGCCCTCCACTACCCCAGCACGACAGCCCTGCAGGAGATGGTACATCAAGTGACAGACCTGTCTAGAAACGCTCAGCTGTTCAAGTGCTCTTTGCTGGAGATGGCGACGTTCTGAGGAGAAAAGGAGGAGACGGGGACCGAGTGGGTTCTAAGGACAACTGGAAATACTATCTGGTTTTTGTAAATGCTATCTATTTTTGTAGATACGAAATATTTTAAATACATTTTACGGATTGGACAACATTCAGGAATTCAGGGGCCTGGAGATGGAAAATCTTTTTTTTTTTTTTTTTGATTCTTATGTATACATATAAGTATCTAAGATATAAACTGTACAGAAACTTGTCCACTTGCTTATGTATGCCTGTGTATTCATGTTTGTTTGTAGATGTGTGTCTGATACATTCCATTAAAAAACATGAAATAAGCACCTTAGTAAGCACCTCCAAATGCTGCATATGTTTTAGAAAGCATACCAGCTGGTTGTGATAGTGTTAGACATATACTTGTGGTTATCCTGAGCTGGTCGCTCCCAAGTCTGGGAAGCAAAGAATATTTGCAAGTGTTCGCCTCCCAAGTAATGAGGTATGACATGACTTGTTCTTGTTTTGAAACCCCTTCCAAAATGGACCGTCTTGACCACATTATGGCAAAATGTCCCCACTTTCCATTGGAAAAGCCATCGATGAGTTGCAAACACTCTACATTAATATAAAATCTGATAGGTGTTGGAGAGCGGAGAGACACGTATACTTCAAGGCCATGTCCACGGTTAGGGCTGAGATGTTTCAACACTGAGAGAAGCCACAAGAAAATGAGAGTATGTGTTTCCCCGTGGCTGTTTGATCATCTGTATCTGTGAGTGATTCAGCCATGAGGTTTTCCAGAGGATGTTTTTAGATTTTCAAAAACCATATTATTTGTAGCAGGAATTTATAAAGACATACTAGACTATGAATATCCACAAAAAAGGAGGAACGGCTCCATCTGCCAGTTGTAGATGCCTTTCTGACTCTCAGTATTCACTCGGGTGCTACAATTCCCATTACCTGAAGGAAACTGGCCAGCTCTTTGCTCATCTGAACTTTAGAGCCACCAGGCCACGTTCTACTCTCTAAAGAGAATTCATTGCTTGATCTCGCACCCTCCTCAACACTCATACTGTGTACCCAGAGCAGCTACACAGAGTCCATGTGACCTTACAACTCTGTCTGGCCAATGACCTTGCATATAGAGTCCCTTCCCCTAATCTCACAACTAGGTGACAACATCCATACCACCATCTATCTCCTCACCCACTCGGTGTGGACACAGCGAAGTTATACCGCAAGCCATCAGATTCATCATGGGGAAAATGAAATACTTCCTACCTGGTACATAAATGTGCCCATGTATTACCAAGTCAAGAAGCATATTATTTATGGTATTTCAGTCCAGTTCTTCTCTAATGGTTTTATTCTAGCCTATTTGGAAACATGTTTATATTGTAATATATGCCTTTAGTGAATGAAGCTTGCTTGTTATGAACAACCAAGATGTTGGAACAGGGAAGGATGTAACAAGGAATAATGCACAATCTCAATGTGATAAAAAAAAAAAAATCAGTGGAACTTGTCATAGAAGGTGCTTCTCAAAACAACTGCTATTGTAATTCTCAAAGTTCTGCTTTGTCAAAAGAAAAAAAGTAAAAAGTTGTATTGTTATCTGACAAGTAAGTGTGTGGGATGGAAGGGGGTCGCTGAAAATCAACAACACTTGAAAAAGATTAAAAAAGTTGTCCTTATAGATTTTATTGTACAGTGTGTATTTCTGAAGAGATGACAGACTTGTTCTAAGCTAAGTGGTGACATTTCAAGTTTTCAAAACCAAACTGTTCAATCTGTATTACTTTCTTTGCCATCTTGTATGTAAAGGCCATTTTTAAATCATTAAAATTTTAGATCTCTGTTTTTATAGCCGCTGGGTTTTCTTTTCCATATTTCTCTCTTTGTCACAGAAATAAATATTGGCTTAGATTGGCACTCCTAATGCAGAAACTTAAATGATGCTGTTGTTATCTGCATTTTTTTTTAGGAAAATTGGTTTTTTGTTTTATTTTCATTTTGTGTATTTGCATTGGAAGAAAATTCTGGAATCTATGGGTGTTCAAACCAAAAAAACCAAACCGGTTGCCATCGAGTTGATTCCCACTCATAGTGACCCTATAGGACAGAGTAGAACTGCCCCAAAGAGTTTTCAAGGAGCACGTGGTGGATTCGACCTGCCAGTCTTTTGGTGAGCAGCCTGAGCTCTTAACCACTACACCATCAGGGTTTCCATGTCTGTTGCCAAACCCAAATATCTAGAACAAGGCTTCTCTTCACCGGAAAGCCCATACGTTTAAGTGATGGATAGGATCATTTCTGCTATTGTAATCCAGACGTTACCAATCACGTGGTTTTAGAGTCAAAGAAAATTGCTCCATTCACTCTGGAATAGACATAAGGAAATAATTCAAAAGCAAATGATATTTGACGAAAATATGAGATTCATATTCATGTAAATTATCATTTTTTCTGCTTCGTCAGCTTTTTCAGGTATCCTACTGAGTTTTACAGATAAAATATTTGAATATACCTTGCATCATTTTGCTCCTACATAGAAGCCTTGATTGATTTTCAACAAAAAGTGTCAAGGCACTTCAGTGGGACACGGGTAGACAAAGGTTTCTTAGACAGAAAACAAAAACTATAAATTATAAAAGAAAAAAATTGATAAATAGGAGTTCACTAAAATTAAAACATTTATTCTTCTAACCCACTGCCGTCAAGTCGATTCTGACTCATAGTAGCCCTATAGGACAGAGTAGAACTGTGCCATTGAGTTTCGAAGGCTGTAAATCTTTCTGGAAGCAGACTGCCACGTCTTTCTCCCACGGAGCCTCTGGTGGTTTCGAACCACCGACCCTTCAGTTAGCAGTCAAGCGCTTTAACCACTGCGCCACCAGGTCTCCTTTACTCTTCTAAGGAGACCATTAAAAAACAAGCAAGCCACAGACCAAGAGAAAACATTTGCACCACATATATAGGCGAAGAACTTGTGTCCAGACTATGAAGACAAACAGCTAAATTTGTATTAACTGAGAAAAAAAATTTGAACACAAACTTCACAAAAGAAGACCTATGAATGGACGGTAGCATCATTAGTCATCAGACAAATGCAAATAATAACCATAGCAAAGAGAATCACTAAAATTCTAAACCAAACCAAGTGTTGGCTAGAATGGCAAGCAAATGGAACTCACAGACTGCTAGTGCGAATGTAAAATGGTACAAACCCTCTGGAAAACAGATCAGTAGTTCCTTACAAGAAGTTAAATCTATATACTCTCCAGCAATTCCATTCATTGGTATTTACTCAAGAGAAATAAAAGCGTTAAGTCCATACGTAAGAATGTTTATAACAGCTTTATCTGTAATAGCCAAACACTGGAAACAACCTAAATGTCCACCAATGTGAATGAATAAAACCATTGTGGTATATGCACACAGTGGGATAATACAGAGCAATCAAAAAGGAAACACATTATTGATACAAAAAAAAACATGAATTAGTTTCAGAATCACTATGCCCAGTAAAAGAAGCCAGACAAAAAAGAAAGTACACACAGTATATTTCCATTTATACAAAGTTTTAGAAAATGGAAACTGATCTGAAGTGGCAGAAATCAGATTAGTGGTTACCGAGGGATAGGAGTGGTGGGAGGTACAGGTTACAAAGGATCACAAGGAAACTTTTGGGAGTGAAGGAAATGTCTTATTTTCTTGATTCTCGTCATGTTTTCACAGGTGTTTATGTGTCAAAACTCACCAACTTGTACCTTTGAAATATGTACATTTCATTTGATGGCATTTATACCTTAATAAAGTTTTTTTTTAAGTGGTTTAAACACTCCAATTAAAAGTCAGAGATTCTCGGACTAGATAAAAAGCAAGACCCAGCATAAGCTATTTAAAAGACTTTCACTTTGAATGCAAATGACACAGATAAAGACAAAAAGAGATGTACCATGCACATTAGAATAAACATTAAAAGTTGGAGTGGTGATACTAATATGAGACATAGTAGAATTCAGAACAGAGACAAATAGGAACATTACATGATAAAAGAATCAAATCACAAAGAAATCATTACCTTCCTAAATGTGTATGGATCCAATCACAAAGTTTCAAAATGCATGAAGCAAAACTGATATAACTAAAAGGAGAAACTTACAAATCTATAATTATAGGTGGAGATTTTGACACTTCTTTCAGTAATTGATAGAACAAGTAAACAAAAAATCAGTAATAATTGGTAAGGATGGAGCAACTGGAACTCTCCTACATTGCTGGTAGGAATATAAAACGGTGCAATCATTTTGGAAAATAGTTTGGCAATCTGTCACAAAGCTAAACATGTTGTTGTTGTTATTGTTGTTAGGTGCCATGGAGTCGGCTCTGACTCACAGTTACCCTATATACAACACAAAGAAACACTGCTCGGACTTGCACCATCCTCACAATCGTTGCTATGTTTGATCCTATTGTTGCAGCCACTGTGTCGATTCATCTCATCGAGGGCCTTCTCTCTCCTTTACTGACCCTCTGCTTTACCAAGCATGATGTTCTTCTCCAGGGACTGGTCCTTCCTGATAACATGTCCAAAGTACGTGAGACAAAGTCTCACCATCCTTGTTTCCAAGGAACACCCTGGCTGTACTTCTTCCAAGACAGACTCGTTCATTCTCCTGGCAGTCCATGGTATAGTCTATACTCTTCGCCAACACCATAATTCAAAGGCATCAATTCTTCAAGCTAAACATACAATTATCATATAACCCAGAAATTCCAATCATAGGTATTTACCCAAGAGAAATGAAAATGTATGTCCACACAAAAACCAACTACTGTATTTATAACAGTCCCAAACTAAAAACAACCCAAATGGCCATTAATAGGTGACTGGATAAATAAATTGTGGTACGTGAATGCAATGGCATACTATTCAGTAATGAACAGGAGTGAACTAATTAAACATATAACAACATGAATGGATGGATCAACCTCAGAAACATCATATTGAACAAAAACCAGGCAAGTAAAGAGTACATATATATGAAGCTCTAGAAAACATACATCTAATTTATGGTGACATAAATCAGATCAGTGATTTCCTGAGGCTGGGTGGGTATGATGGTTAAGGTTGCACCATGATTCTCAGTGGTTTGATAGTTACATAATGACGTAGTCATTCTCCATTTTGTGATCTGATGCAATCATCCTGCATTTTGTTACCTGATATGAGCAGCCAATCAGTTGACAAAGGGGTTTCCTTGGGCAAGTGGCCTGCCTCCAATAAATAAATGGATGTTTGAGCAAGGCTCACACTTGCTCTGGATCCTGCATCTGGCTTGTCATCATCTGACTTCTGGTTCTTGGAACTTGAGCTAGCAGTCTGCTTTCTGACCTGATTCACCAGCTTCCGCAGCACTGTAAGCCAGCAGCCTGCCAATCCTGGGATTCCTCAGCTTCCATAGCCCCGTGGGCCAGCAGCCTGTCATCTGACTTGCAGATTCTGGGATTGGTCAGCTTCCACAGCCTTGTGGGCCAGAAGCCTGTCATCTGACCTGCAGATTTGGGATTTGTCAGCCCCTGCAACCACGTGAGTCAGGAGAAGCCTCCAGCCTGACACCTGAACCACAGATTTGGGACTTTCCAGCCTGCACAACCGCATGAGCCATTTCCCTGAGATAAATCTTTACATATATATACACACACGGTAGCCTTGGTGGTGCAGTGGTTAAGAGTTCAGTTGCTAACAATGGTGATGGAATAATTTGGAAAAGGATAGTGAGAATAGCAGCACAACTGGAAAAACATAACTGATGTCACTGAATTGTACATGTAGAAATTTTTGAAATGGTGTATCTTTGGCTACGTATATTTTCACCAAAAAAGAAAAAATGTCCTCCAAGGTCAAGAAGGGAGAGTGTTGACATGTCATGGGGTTGTTAACCAATGTCATAAAACAATGTGCATACCGACCGTGTAATGGGAAATTATTTGTTCTGTAAACCTTCACTTAAAATACAATAAAAAAAATTAAAAAAAAAAAAAAAAAGAGTTCAGTTGCTAACCAAAAGGTTGTCAGTTCAAATCTACCAGCAGCTCCTTGGAAACCCTATGGGGCAGTTCTACACTGTCCTCTAGGGTCACTGTGAGTCAGAATCCACTCGATGGCAAGAGGTTTGGTTTAGTTTTATACATACACATGCTTCATTGGTTTTGCTTCTTCTAGAGAACCTAGTCTAAGACAGTGGGGGCTGGGGATTATCTGGGAAAGAGCATAGAGGAACTTTTGGTGTGACGGAAATGTTTCATATCAGCACTATCCACTAGAACTTTCTGCAGTAACTTGCACTGGGCAATACAGTAGCCACCAGTCACATGTGGCTGATGAGTATTTGAAATGTGACTAGTACAAATGAGGAACAGTTTTTAATTTTATTCAATTTTAACTTAAATAGCCACACATGGCTGGTGGTTACCGTATTGAACTGCACGGTATCTTTATCTTGATTGTGATAGTGATTTACGGTGATACATAAATTGGTTAAAACTTATAAGGTACACTTAAAATGGGTGCATTTTATTAAATGGCAAAATTTATAAGGTACCCTTAAAATGGGTGTATTTTATTACATGTAAATCATACTGCAGTGAAGTTGATTTTAACAAGAGGAGAAGCACTTCCCAACTCTTACATTCCTTTTTTTTTTTTTTTTAAGTCAATATTATCATCAATTCACAGAAATATTGGAGGGCCCAAAGAAAAAGGTCAAAATCAGAAAGTTCAGCTTTCTAAATCTGTAATCGGCTACTGCTTTAGCGTCTATGCTGAGCTAGTCCATGATCCACCAGGAAGAC